AAGATATGTGCAGTGTGCATAGGAATTTGTTCATAGTTTTTTTGAAACTATAGTCCGGCCCTCCAATGGTCTGAGGGACACTGAACTGGCCCCGTTTAAAAAGTTTGAGGACCCCTGGTATAAAATAATGTTCTCACTGGGTTATAAAAATAGGTAATTTTTATTGTCTTCTGTCTTTTCCCACATTTTCTAAATTTTCTTCAATGAGTACTTTTATTATTTTGGTAATATAGTATTAATCCTCTTAACTGTCCCAACTGGGAACAGAGATTGGATGATTAACAAAAATATTGGATAAAGTGGGAAACCATAAAATGTGATTACTATCATAAACATTAACTTAAAATGCATACTTGAATATATAATTTATTCCTATATCAATTTTTTCGTGTAAATTCAAAGCCTTTTCTTTGAATAGGGATCAGTTTGGGGTTCCAGGTCATCTTTCTTGGATAAATGATACCACGTACCTCTATGAATTCCAAATTCTTTCAAGTGTAATAAACTTAAAGATACTTGTGAAGCAACCTGAGTATGAATTTTCCTTGTAATATTTTTACTCTGTGCTTCTCTGTAATCTCATTGTTTTCTTGCTCACAGTAATTTTATTACATTTTTAAGAGACATTCCTTTATTATGTCTTTTAATGGAAATGTCTCTCTTTTTTTGTACTTATATTTCTTTGGTTTACATACGTAACATTTAAATAAATTATGTAGTCACAACAGGTAGTATAACTTACACCAGCGGTCTCCAACCTTTTTGGCACCAGGAACCAGTTTCATGGAAGACAATTTTTCTACTGTGTGTGTGTGGGGGGGGGTGGGCAGAGGCGCAGCTCAGGCGGTGATGTGAATGCCACTCACCTCCCGCTATGCAGCCTGGGTCCTAAGTTTTGTAGAAAACAACTTTTCCACAGAAGATGGTGAAGGTGAAGTTCAAGCGGTGATGCGCAACCCAGTTCCTAACAAGCCACGAACTGGTACCAGGCTGCAGCCTGGGGTTTGGGAACCGCAAACGTACACCAATGGTTTGGGTACAAATAAGCCACCCTTAATCAGCATACACATCACCAGATGGAAGCAGAAATGCCAAAGCATTCTAGAAAATATATACAAGCTAAGAGTATTTAGAGTGCTGTGGGTATCAGCATGCATGATTTACGAAGGGACTGAAGGGCCCCAGAAAAGTCAATTATGTGGATGATGCTTTATAGTGTTTATGCACTTTCAGAATCTGAAACCACCTCAACTGTTTTTATCCTTAAGGGAAGATACTGTTGAGAGATGAAAAACATGGTTTGAGGCAGTAAGGAATGAGGAGCACGCCAGTCCTTCTTGATCACCCCATGAGTGTGGGACTAGGATGCGTGTATATGCCCATATGTGCTGGGGGAAGTGAGATTCTGAGTCACAGAAGGGCTTGAAGAGTGACTGTCATTGGATACGGTTTCACCAGGAATCGAAGCTTCAGTTATGCCAAGCAAGTGGTAGGAACAATTAAATGAGAGGATGTGGTAAACTTTGTTCACAATACACTACTAGGTGTAAAGTTTTAAAAGGGCAGGAGAAAGTGAAGATAAAGCTGCGAGTGAGGACAAGAAGAGGGAGGAGAAAAGGGAGGATTGTGGCCTATGGTCAAAACTGTGAATAAAAGGGTCAAAGAAAATGGAGGCTATGAGGTAGACTGCAGGCATAAACTTTCAGTGTTTTTTTCTTTTAAATATGCATCAAACTATTCTGCATATAATAATCTTTAGCTAGTTTTTGGTATGAAACTTGTGCCACTAAGAGAAGTGATGTAAAAGTGTATAAAAGTAATTCCAGACCTTTAGAAATTTATACCCCAGTTACAGAGATCAACGTAAGTACAAATAATGACAATACCAAGTAATATATACTAAATACGGTAAGAACAATACAGACAGTAAGTACCATAAAATAATAGATTCTTGTCACCATAAGAGTCAAGTCACAGAAGATTCCTGCTCACACTGTCCCACGGTGCCTTTGATGCACGTTAGCAGGGCTTAATCTCTCTGTTCTATAGAAGGGGTAACAGTTTCATAAAACTCCCTGCTTCTTATCTAGTTGTACTAGTTCTTGGTTAAAATCTCCCTAAAAACTAATGAAAGACTTTATTTGTCAAGAAATAATGAGATGATAAAAATGAATGTTTTAAAAACTTCATCAGAAAGAACTTCAAATACATACCAAAGAACAAAGCATAGTACAGGGTGCCCCAAAAGTTGCCATGCATAGGGAAATGGGAAAGTGTACTTAAATGTACCTTTATTTATAAAATATTCATTACAAAATTTTTCCTTTGTATGGAGACTTTTTGGGACACCCTATATAATGAATCCTCATGTGCCTATCAACAGCCTCAACAATTTTCAACATATGCCCAATCTTTTTCACTACCCTCCCTCTGTGTAATTTTGGAGCAAATCCCACATGTCATTTCATATCATGTAAATATTTTTAAATATCTCTCTCAAAGCTAGGGCTCCTTTTCAAAAAAATAACCATATACCAATATCATACCTAAAAAAATTAACAATATTTCTTTAATGTCAAATATCCAGTGTTCAAATCTTCAATTGTCCTATAAAAGTCTGAAATGACTTTTTTTTTTTTTGAGACAGAGTCTCGCTTTGTTGCCCAGGCTAGAGTGAGTGCCGTGGCGTCAGCCTAGCTCACAGCAACCTCAAACTCCTGGGCTCAAGCGATCCTCCTGCCTCAGCCTCCCGAGTAGCTGGGACTACAGGCATGTGCCACCATGCCCGGCTAATTTTTTCTATATATATTAGTTGGCCAATTAGTTTCTTTCTATTTATAGTAGAGACGGGGTCTCGCTCTTGCTCAGGCTGGTTTTGAACTCCCGACCTCGAGCAATCCGCCCGCCTCGGCCTCCCAGAGAGCTAGGATTACAGGCATGAGCCACCGCGCCCGGCCTGAAATGACTTTTTAAAGTATTTTATAATTTATGCCAGAAACAAAAGTAAAGGCATCAACCCACTATATAATCAATGGCATAAATGAGAAGCCAAATGACTTGCCTGACACCTAAGGACTACCTACTGCTAATAAACCTGTCTACAGCCTTTACTGGGTGCTAGCGATACTTTAGGGGCTCTACATATATTAACTCATTTAACCCCATGATATAGGTGAGTTGCCAATGGCATTTTACAAATAAAGAAACTGAGGCCCATTAACATGTCCAAAGTAACCCAGCTAACCCAAATGCCCATCAGCTGATGAACAGGTAAATAAAATATGTTATAGCCATACGATGTAATATTTTTCAGCCATAAAAAGGAATGAACTACTAATAGATATAACAACATAGATGACCCTTGAAAACACTACACTAAGTGAAAGAAGCCAGTCACTAAAGACCACATATAGTATGATTTTGTTTATATGAAATGTCCAGAATAGGAAAATCTATATAGAGACAGAAAGTAGATTAGCAGTTGCCTAGGGCTGAAGAAAGGGGTGCTAGTAGGGAGTGATTGCTAATGGGTAGAGGGTTTCTTTCTGGAGTGATGAAAATGTTCTAAAATTGGACGTTGTGATGGTTGCACAACTCTGTGAATATACTAAAAACCACTGAATTGTGCACTTTAAATGGGTGAATTTTATGGTATGAAAATTATATCTAAATAAAGCTGTTTTTAAAGTAAATCATCAAAAGCTTTAAAATGCATCAAACCAAGGAATATGTATTAATCATTTACACAGGCACTATGCAAGCTACAAAACACATACAAGACACAAACTCTGACCTCAAATTGGTTATAGTTCAAGCGAAAAGGCACACATGCAATATATTATAGTATACTTTTGCTTTCTAAATTGTGCCTTTTTCTTGAAGAGGTGGTCAACTGCCTGAACCCAGTTTTCTGATTCATAAAATGCAGTGGGGTAGGGCCTAATGCTCGGAAAAGCTATGATAAGATCTATCCTTTCCCATTTCCCCCTGGAGGTCTACAGAGGTTATGATGAACCACAGAGCCATCTTTGAGAGAGCAACCTATAGAATGATTCTTAAGGAGCTGAGGCTGGGCCTATTCACTTTATAAATGAAATATTGTGAGTAAATGTTTTCTAACTAAACAGAGGCCAGGGTGGCTTGACAATCCTAGGCTGAGCTAACACCAAGGGGCCTGGGTCCTCCTTCCTGGGTTTAGGAGTGCCCAGGGTAAACAAATTGCACAGGTTTTCCTTTGCTATGGCTACTGAGAACAACAAAGATCCTTGATAAAGACTAGGTAGAGTTGTGATCATGAAAACTTGTAAGGTGAGTGTTTAGAGGAGGCTGATGAGGGCTATGGTAGGAGATAAGACCTGGGAAAGGAAACAGTTTGGGGATCCAAGACTGTACAGAGTGACCATAGTACTGAAGACATGCAGGCACCTGGTGGATCACTCACAACCAGGAAGGCTTCCCAGAAATGGCATTTATCTTAAATGAATAATGACAAAACTGCTGCTCTAATTCAAAGTGTTGGAGTGCCAGGCTTAGTTCTACCCTGCAGCTACTGGAACTATGTCTAGCTTGATGTCCAGTGAACCCATGAAACTCACATGCCACTAGATTCCAAAACCAAGGTTATACATAAGAAAGATGTTTAAATTTTACAGACTTGCAAATTCAGCCAAATTTTATAATAAGGATTTGCATTCTCTGAAATTTTCAGATAATGGTGGCAATCAAAACTTAGAATCTTATTTAAATGTTTACCGTTTGAGATAGAACAAGTAAAACCCTAATTAATAAAGTAGAAACTCACATTTTGAGCATTATGAATTATGCACCTTTTCCTGAACTGCCTAGAAAGAACATTTCATATTTGGATCAAGTGGCTTGGGCCCAGAGTGGTCTGATGAGTCAGCAGACAACTCAGAAACATAACCCTATAGCCAAGCTGCCTCAAATAAACCACAATCCTATTTGAACTACAAATGATAACATGATATCGGTCTCCTTACCTTTCACCACATCAGCCACATTACAGGTGGGATCAATACTTCCTATGTGTTTAGGATGAGCAGGGTTAGTGTCACCTCCAAACAGAAGTGCTAAATAAACACAAAAGGGAAGGGATTAAAACACAGCAGGCTGGGATCAAGCATAGAAATATACAGGGGTTTTGAAAGGATCTCTTATTTGTAAGAATCACGTTAGCATCCACAGTGACTTATAGCAATAGAATATACACAACTGATGGGTGAGCAACTGTATTGGCCAACAAAGGAGGAAGAATGGGCTTTAAGACCTGTCACTTGCAGTCAGCAGATCCTAAAGCAGTGACACGTGCCAGGTGCCCAATCCTTTCTCCCCAACCCAATGTGACATGGATGAAGAAACTTACTTTCATCCTTAGCCAGCTTCACCCATATTCTCACTACTACTCCAGACATTTATTCTGACATTTGCTAAGTATTTAGAGTATACAATCTGTACCATTAAGACAGGCCTGCAAAGTGTCTTCACTGACAGCGTTTCAGATACCTCCATCATGGAGATTATTTTTCAGTGTTGTGTACACAAGCAGTATTTGTTCAAGTATTTTTTAAAGTACACCAGATAATTTCATAACACATAAGCTTTGCAAAATTTTGTTTCTGAATAAAAGCTAAAAGAAGCCCAAAAGATAAAAGCAACCTGAATCCAAATGTTTATAGGTATACTTATTTTTAAATCAAGCAAAAATTAGGAATAACTTAGACTCCATAAAAATTAAGATGCCTAAATAAAATAGGGGAGATTTTTAAATTATGAAAAATGATAAATATGGGCATCAGGCCAATAAATAAAGTTCCAACTGATTAAGTGGAAGAAAAACAGGTGTATAAGCTTAATTGATGATCTAAAAACGTGCACAAATGTATACAGACATATTTAGATCAGAAAGAAGTTGTAGTTATCTAAGTAGTTTAGCTGAATAGTATTTAATTCAGGTGCTTTTTTCTGTAAATTTCCTGTAAATCATTATACATTCCTATTTTTTAAAGATATACATTTAAAATAAACCCAAATTTAACAGTTATATAACTATTACTTATCCAAATAACTCAAATTAGTAAAACAAAAATGCTTTGCCTATTTTCTGATTCAGCAAAGAGGATGAATTAGGCTCTAGATATGTGTATGCTTTTTCTTAAGAATTATAAAATCAACCAAAGAGACAATGCTGAAAATGAGCCAAATAGTCTTTTGTGTGGAGAGGATTTTATCTGTTTTTTGTCTTATCTTTTTTTATTTTTCTTTTATTTATTTGTTTTTCATATAGAGATGGGGTCTCACTCTTGCTTAGGCTAGTCTCGAACTCCTAGCCTTCCAGAGTGCTAGGATTACAGGCGTGAGCCACCGCACCTGGCCAGTTTTTTTCATACCTGCTTATCACCCTAGAGAATGGACTAAAACTCTCAATATGGGATTATGGACTGACAATCTCACTTAATCTGGCTTCGCTGATCCCGGTGAAATAAAAGATTGATCACTTATGTGGCCAACATGCCAATTTAATATTCTCAGTATCAATGTTTTTAAAACTAAGAAGGAAAGCACATAACATCCTGGATGAAGAACAGAACATACTCTCAGAGATTTGCAAAAGTATTCAGAGATGAAGACTCAGCTGCCATGAAAAGCCAGTCCCTCATCCCTACCAGGAATATGTGGCTTAAAAGGCAGGCAGTGGTTCTGTCTCTAATATGATCATAAAAGCCTTTCAAAAATTTATTTTAACTAAGAATACTAATAGCTTTTTCACAGATAAGACTCACTTAGGGACCAGACACGGTGGCTCACGCCTGTAATCCTAGTACTCTGGGAGGCCTAGGCGGGGATTGCTCAAGGTCAGGAGTTCGAAACCAGCCTGAGCAAGAGCGAGACCCCCATCTCTACTATAAAAAGAAAGAAATTAATTGGCCAACTAATATAAATAGAAAAAAATTAGCCAGGCATGGTGGCACATGCCTGTAGTCCCAGCTACTTGGGAGGCTAAGGCAGGAGGATTGCTTGAGTCCAGGAGATTGAGGTTGCTGTGAGCTAGGCTGACGCCACAATACTCACTCTAGCCTGGGCAACAAAGTGAGACTCTGTCTCAAAAAAAAAAGACTCACTTAGGAGAAATTAAACTAGAAGTGAAATTTTTACAGCCAAAAATGCAAGACAGTGAATTAAAAGTGAAGCAAGAGGAAATAATTTAGGAGAAATCACTCTGTTTACCTTTTCAAAATTGGACCAAAAAACCCCAACTTACTGTGCTGGTTAATAAGCATGCGGAAGGAGATGCGATTGGTATAAAACCGATCCAGAAAATACTGGATGTTACTGCTAATGAAAGGATCAAACCCAAACTTCTCCTTGTATTCAATCACTCCTTGTGCCATCGTAGGAACCACATCATTGTGCCTATTTCTGACTTTAATCAGAACTTGTAGAAAGCTGTATGAGGGAAACAAAACGTAATCAGTCTTTATATGTCATGGGCTGATATACAGACTCCCCAGCTCTTTCCCCAGACTAGTCATCTGCTGGTATTTTTATCAGTAGAGACATCACTCTCATTGTGTGCTATAAGGAAGTACTCCCAAGAAACTAAAGTATTACCCAAGTTTTTGCTTGAAACTTTCTTTCTACAGAAACTCTTCTTTCAGGGATGCAAAAGGTAAAAGAGTCTAATAAAGGAAAAAATGCTCAAATACCCTTTTAGGAATCCACGAACTTTCTGGATAAGTGATAATACAATACAGGTTCTATAAATGCTGAATAAAGAATTACAGAACATATCAATATTTATTCTGACAACATGAGGACAACCTCAAAAAAATCTCCAAGAATTTATTAACAAAGTCCCAAAGCAATAGCTTCCATGAATAAAGAAATAATATTGGCTAGGTGCAGTGGCGCACTTTGGGAGGCCAAGGTGGGAGAATCTCGAGGCCAGGAATTTGAGACCAGCCTGAGCAGCATAGCAAGACCTCATCTCTACAAAAAAATAGAAAAATTAGCCAGGAATGGTGACATATGCCTGTGTCTCAGCTACTCAGGAGGCTGAGGTGGGAGGATCACTTGAGCCCAGGAGTTGGAGATTGCAGTGAGCTATGATGACACCACTGTACTCTAGCCTGGGCAATAGAGTAAAATCCTGTCTCAAAAAAAAAAAAGTAACACTTTTTCAGAGAAAAATTTTGAAATAAATTTCTCACAGCAGTAAAATATGGTGATGAATACAGATAGAACAAAGGCAATTAAAACAAATTTATTCAAGTATCCTGGCAAATTATTGCAAAGATGCATAGGGAAAAATATATTAAGAATGGTAACTAAGAATAGAAAGACAAGTCAGTCAATGGAACCAAATAAAAAGTTTGGAACCAGGGCCCAAGGGTGAGTGAGTATGTGTATATAAAAATTAAGCCTGTTGAGAAAGTGACACTGCAAATCAGTAGGGAAACAAATTAACAATCCAATTAATTGGGACAGCAGGCCAACAATTTCAGTCACATCCCAATTTCAAGCCTGAAGCCAAATATTGGATTGAAAATGTAAAAGGGTGAAATCACAGAAATGAAAATAAAATCAGGTGAATAAGTATATAATCTCGGTGGGGGGTGGAGGAGGGCTGTTCTAAACTTAATACCAAAGGCAGAAACAAATAATATGAAAAAAACAAATGATATGACCATGTAGAATTTTAGCAGTTCGGTAGGGACACACATTATATAATAAAGTCAAAAAACAAAGCAAAATAGGGGAAAATATATTTGAAGAGTTATTATCCTTAATAAAGGAAAAGATGAGCACCCCATTGGAAAACTAGGCAAAGGATCTGATATCAATGGAGAATTTACAAAAGAGAAAACACATATGACAATAACTTCACCCTCACTAACAATAAAAGCAAACAAAAACAACGCAGTACTATTCTCTACTTATGGTGGGTGTCAGAGTGTGGGAGCTTAGCTGACACATTGCTAGGAGTAATTTAGTAACATATATCAACAGCTTGAAGAAAATAATTCTACTTCCGGAAATTGATCCTAGGAAGATAAATGAACAAAGTGAATGGCTGTTTTTAAAAGCTGTTCTTTAGAGCACTGTTTGTGCTAGCAAGAAAACTATAAACCAGTCTAAAACCCAGTGATAGGGAATCAAATTGCATGACCTATCCACAGATGCACTATTAATATGAATATTATAAAACTATTAATAATGGTATAGATCTATAATGTAGACACTTGTTTTTGTAAAAATTATTTTATACATGTAAAAATATGCATGCCTAGGAAAAAGTATGGATGGAAGGAAAATGTTAATAGAGGTTGTCCCCTGGAACAATATAACAGCAGAAGTTTGGGGTGACTTTTCTTTTTACTTATCTGAATAGTCTTATTTTTCTCAATATTGATGAAATATTTCTGTAACAAATACATACATACAATGAACATAAAGATGAATAAATTAACTCTGAAATTAGGTCATAATTATTCACAAAAAATTTTATAATGGCCAATTGTCTTTTTACATAAGACTCTTTTCCAACACATTTATAAATTAAATATTACTAAAGTGAAGCAATTCAATACAGCAGAGAAGTGCTTCAGCTTCTCTGAAGGGAGGAGACTTACCTCAATGGTTCAATTCTCAGAATTCTTCCCCAGTCTTCCAGGCTCTTCTAAACTCTATCATAATGATCAACATGCTTATCCTCTGAGCTACTTTTGCTTTGCTAAAATGATTTCCTTGCTGCTGATCCTATATAACCTCTTGCTGAACAGAAAAGGCTGCTACCATCATAGTTGCTCACTCTTCACTCCTTCCTTCATCAAGAACATCAGCCTTCTCAAATCTCAACTATCCTAACTAGTCATGGGAACTAACTAGTCATGGGAACCTGGGCAAGTTACTGAAACTCACTGAGTGAGAGCTCAGTTATTATAAACGATGATCTGGCACACACTGGATTCGGTGCCGGCAGTTTACAAAACAGGCTCATTTCTAGAAATCGCAACTGATAACCTATTCCAGAAAGTGAGACAGGACTCTGGGAAAACAGCAGAAATTTAATATCATATGCAGTCATCCCTGGGTATCTCCAGGGGATTGGTTCCAGGATCCCCTCGTAGATACCAAAATCCACAGATGCTCAAGTATCTTATATAAAATGGCATAGCATTTGCATATAACCTATGCATAGCCTTCCATATACTTTAAATCAACTGTAGATTACTTATAATACCTAATACAATATAAGTAGTTGTTATACTGTGTTATTTTTTATTTGTATTATTTCTTATTGCTGTATTATTTTTTTATTGTTTTTTTCCTGGAATATATTTTCAACCTGTGGTTAGTTGAATCCAAGGATATGGAACCCACAGATATGAAGGGCTGATGGTACTTCCACAAATCTATAACATAAAATTTGAAGCTAGAGAGGTCGGTCCTAATTTTTAGGATTTCAACCAAACTGTCACTAGCTAATAACTTTCGAGACAACAAAGCTCTGGATTTAATATCGATATCTTAAATGACAGCAGTGGCTTATATCAAGGCAAATGCTGCATCTGAGGCCCTAACCCATTGCTCCCCCAACATCTACATTTCACAGATCCATTAGACAAAACACCTAAGTGTTAAAACAGGTCAGGGCTTTCTTTGCTCTTATGTTTTAATTTACAACTAAACTTGAGCTAACTACTCATAGCTCAAACTGGCAGTGCTGGCAGTATAGTATATTGTACAGAAACAGTGTACTAAGGAAAAGGAAATGTGGTTTATAAGTTGACCTTTGCTATGAACTGTTATAATCATGGGCAAGTCACTTCACATCTCTGACCTCAGTTTCCTTATATGTGAATTCACAGGACTGGGTTAAATATCTCCTAAGGTCACTTGTATTCCTCGTAGTTCCCTAGTTCCTTTTATGGAACACCTATAAGTCAGGTGTTCAGTCTCACAACTATGTGGACTAGGTTTATACTTAGAAATTCCTCAGCACAATAGGCCTGCCATATGTGCTCACTCAAGTATACATGAAATAGGAGAAAATTAATGTGAAAGGGCTACTTAATTTGTCTTGGGGCGGGGCAACACACTCACAGATAGGGTTAGTATTTCCTGGCTAAATAAAAATGAAAAAACAGAAATATTCCATCAGTATTAGAATTTAGCAGTCCGTGCATAATGGTAGCAATAGAATCCAGGTTGTTATATTAAAAGCACATTCTTTTATGCTTCTCCAAAATAAAACCATTATAGTTTTTTTGAGCTCAAATATAATATCCCATTGAAATCCAAAAAAAATTGTAAAGGATTGAGTAGGTAAATTCATGTATCTATGGAGTCCACTGCATTCTTAAAACTACCACTAGATGGAACATTTACTGCAGTATTTATAGTGAGTGCCCAGTTCACCTTGAGTAAATAAATGTATTAAGAATCCGGTCATGAAGCATAACTGGAAGTGTCATTATTCCTCCTGTATTATGTTAAATTCTTAACATAAAATTTAAAAAAACACAATGCTGAGTCATTACTGATTAAGAAAACTAATGCTTTTGTCCAAATTATATTTCCTGGGTCTTAATGACATGAGTTCCATTTACCAAAATATTTTTTACCTAGATATTTTTATTTTCAGGTAAATGGTACCATACTTACTTATTCAAGACCTGTGGATCCTCAGGGCTCTTATTTTCGTATTCTAAAAGTTCAAGAAAACTCTGCATATACCTAAAAAAGAAGAGTTACTGTGTTAGTTGCCTGCCCAACATGCATTCCTCCTTTCCCTCTTCCTAAGAGCACTTCAGATTTTCACTCAGATCTCCATCCCATCACCCCATGCAGCTCAAGTGCTTCAGGGGAAGCTGGTGCCTCCAAAGATCCTGGGTGGCCCCATTTTTTTCTGGGTAATCCTATTTCTCTGTCACTAATTATTAGTTGGTCCAGTAGTCCAGGTCAAAGCCTACCAATGCATGCACGCCCCTGAACACAGGGACAGACTCAGGGAAGAGCATACTGCCTCAATTCAGGCCAGTAAAATGGGAGAAGACTTGCTAGAGGTCTCTGGGAGGGACATCAACTTGCTGTGCATTTGTACAGTGTGCTATGTCGATGTGAAGCCTGGAACTGCTGCAGCTATTCTACCACCAGGAAGGAATCCAATCTGAAAATGAAGCTGACACCATTGAAAGTAAGGCCTTGATAACCTCATGAATCTCTGAATCAAACCAACACCAAAAGCTCATGCTATAGCTGGACTGTCTAGTTTCATGAGCCAGGGTCAGGTGCATTGTCTGCTCCTCACAAACAAACATATCTTAACTGATACACTGAGTCTATAGTTGATTACCAAAAAGTGCATATAAATTTTAAGAAGTACGTATGTGACACTGAAGTACACACCAAGAACTTAGAAACTAGTTGTAAAGAAGGTTCCTTCTCAGAGTTAAATTAATTCCATCAACACTTAATGGGGGAGAAGGAATGCCTTTTAGCCCCTCAGAAACAGCTTCTGGATTAAGAATAGCTACATATCTCAATCAGGACCAGGATAAGAAATAATGTGACCAACATTAAGATCTGGAGAACACAGAAAAATGGGATGCAGAGGGGCACGTTACTGTGGCAGCTACATCCAGCCAGGACCTGCTAGATCTGGTGGGGATTCAGACATGCCAATTAGGTATTTGATCTCTATTTTGGGTCTTAAGATGTCCTGAAAGAATTATCCTTTTATTCTAATTATTTCTAATAATTAATTACTATTAATCCTATTATCTACCGTAGATGGAGGATGAGGACACCCAGTAACAAAAGTAACTGTTACACATGTAAATACATCAACAGGACTACCACTGGATTCATCAGCTTCATGTGAACTTTGTGACAATGCATTTCATACTATGCATGTTCATCTCTGGATATATTTTTTAAAGTCTCTGGGCACATAAGGATATGTATGAGATATTGTTCAAATCATCGGGTCAAAACACTCAGGGAGGTCAAATTCAGCCAGCCCCAGTGATGGCCTCTGCCCAGCCATGTGCAAGCAAACTAGGCAGGCATCCCGTCCATTTCGAAGGGGAGAGTTCTTTAAAGAGCAAAGTCATAAATGGAGAAGGGTCAAAGATTATACTGGGGTTTCTAAGACTGAAAGTCAAGAGTGCAAGGAGAGCACACTGTGACTGAGGGGACGGTGGTGGGGCTCACGGCCCATCATGCACAAGATTCACTTTTAAAAGGAAAAAGAAATGGCAGTGAAACCCAATGAATGATCCTGAACTGGATTCCTAAATTGGGAGAAGAAATTGCTAAAAAGGGTCACTATTAGAACAATTAGTAAAGTGAGAACAAGTTCTACATATTAGCAAATATTACTGTATCAATGTTAAATTTCCCAGATGTAGTGATCATGCTGTGATTTTCTAAGGAATTGTTCCAAGGAGATACATGCTAAAATATTTAGAGGCAAAGGGGCATGATGTGGACATCATGTATGTGCATGTATGATATATATACACTTATCTACATAATACATACATAGAGACAGAGAAAGAATATGAATGACAATGATAGAGTAAATATGGTAAAATATTAACTATTAGTAAATTTACATGAAGGTATATGAAAATTCTACTAGTTTTGCAACCCTTCTGTTAAGTAGAAAATTATTTCAAAATTGAATGTTTAAGAAGAGGAAGAAATGGTATGTATGTGTTTGGAGTGGATATGGAAGAGGAATGGTGAAGAGAAAAAAGAAAAAGAGTGGACACAGCAATTTGTGAGAGTATACTTTACCAGGGTGATATAACACAAAGGTACATTTGGCATTTGTCCTTGGTTCCTGGCCCAGAGCTCCTAAAACCTTAGAATTTCCTGAGCGATAGGAGTGTCTCTTGTTATTTATAACATAGAGGATCCTCTTTGGATCACACCAGAGTTTATGCTAATGAGGTGGCTTACAGTGGGGCCCTAAGATAGCCTTAAGATGGGGCTATTCACCAGAAAGACCAAGTGATTGCAAGGTAGTGACTTTCAGCCCCACTCCCAACCTCCGGGGAGGAGAGAGGGCTGAAGACTGAGCTCTGTAAAAACTCTGAACAACCAAAGATTCAGAGAGCTTCCAGGATGGTGAATATGTGGAGGAACCACTACTGGAAGGGTGGTGCGCTGGAGGGGGCAGGGAAGCTCCATGCCCACCACCCCCTATACCTTGCCCTATGCATTTCTCCCATTTGGCTGTTCTTGAGTTGCCTCTTTTATAATAAACCTGTAAATGTTAAGTAAAGTGCCTTTCTGGGTTCTGTGAGCCATTTTAGCAAATTATTGAACCTGAGAAGAGGGTCATGGAAACCCAATTTATAGCCACTCCACCAGAAGCATGGGTGGCCCGAGACTTGTGACTGGCATCTAAAGTTGGGGGATAGTCTTGTGGAACTGAGCCCTACAGCTGTGAGGTCCTACTAACTCTGAGTAGGTAGTGTCAGGATTGAATTGAATTGCTGAATACCCAGTTGGTGTCTGGAGAATTGGAGAACTGGTTGTTGGTGTTGGAAAACACCACAGAACCAGGGATTCATTTTGGAACCCCTGAAGTGACTTTTACATAAGCAATAGTAAATGTTTAACTGTCACCACCACCAGGATCAGGGACTTGATCTTACCTACCTAGAATTCCCACCACAGTGGCCCCCCAGTAGTGATTTTATACTTTCTACTGGAAAATCTCTAATGATGGTCTTGAAGCAATAATGAAGTCTCATGCAAACCAGGGCTTGCTGCTCCTTCTGAAACAAGTTATAAATCTAGAGCAGAAAGGAACTGAATATGATATTAAAGCCATGGTCACAGTCTCTGATCTCTCCTGTGTTCCAAAGACCCTGTACCTCACACAATGAGGAGCTGCTGCCTGTCTGGGAAAGGGACTGGATACCGTACCTCTAAGACCACCCAAAATAGTGATTCTCAGACAATTCATTTTTAGCTCTATGAATTTATTATAATTAATATTGTTGAGGAATGACTATTGAATGTCTATTCTCTTTTTGTAGCCTGGCCTCTGCTAACCCTCTAAATGCCAACTAATTAATAGTTCTATTCTCTTTATATTTGTCCACATCATTCCCTTCTCCTAAAATGCTCTGACCCACCCATACCTGCCAATTCCACCCACCTATCAAGGGGCAGCACAAAAGCACAGCTGGCATTTCTCCTCCCTTCTCTGTGTTCCCCAGCACTGTGCTTGCTTGAGAGTACTTATGGCATCTGGCCTCCCAAACTCCTCCAGCCGTCTCCACAGCAACTCTACCCTGCTTTTATAACAAAGAGCAGACCTGCAAATGTGTCTCAAACACTGTACATGCAAATCCCTTTCTAAAAACACATCACTTGCTTTTCTTATATCCTACCACTCGCTGATCTCACCCTGCTTACCTAGTGGGTAGCTTCATCACAAATTCAACTTCCTCAATTAAGTAGCATATGCTTTAATCACAGAGATATAACTGATTTAAGTTTTTACTCTGTTAATATTTTCCATACTTTTCATAGAGCAAATGAAACACAGCAGGGAGCTATTAATATTGTTCCAATCTAAGGTTACCCTTCAAATGACTTAATTTGTTCTAGAAGCACTGCCTTAAAGGAACTTCTGTAAAAGGAAAACAAAAGGAGCAAAGTTGAGACTTAGTAAGTGGCAAACATCTTACCTGAAGGACTGCAGGCCCATTTACATGGAAAAAAAAGTCAAGAAAGTGTCTAGTACAATTTAGAGGTATTTTCACTGAAGTAATTTTAAATTGAACAGCAAAACAAAACAAAACAAAACAAAACAAAACAAAAAACCCTTTTAATTGCATGGAAAACTCAGCTATCCCAAATGACTCATTCCCAGACAGGAAGTATGTGCACTTTTACAGGGAATCGTCCCAATGCCAAATGTTCAGAGCATTGTGGGAAGATCCATTTTAAGACACGGGTGTTATTTACTTACCAACTCTGAACCAATCCCACTGAAGGGCGGTTAAGTAAATTATCCGGCAGAAGATTAACTTCTCTCATTGTGTTAGCCAGTCGTACAGGAAGTTCCTTTCGTAGAAACATATATGAAGTTTTCTCACATGCATTATCTCTCCCTATTAAGACATGAAAAATGTTCCATGATTTTACAGTCTAACAGATGGAGAAATAAAGTGCTCTCATGGTAGCATAGTTACTACTGGTAGGGAAGAGAAAAGTAAATAATCCTGCAGTCTCTAGTTGAATTTTTATCCTCTGAAATAGCAAGTTTAAGAAAATAATTTAATTAGAAGAGAAAAAGAACATTTATTCCAAGAGGCAACCTTGAAAGCAGTGTTTTTCTTAACACAAAAACGTTCCTAGTGTTACCAGCATCAATATAAAAGTAACCTGGGATATAATCTGAATTTGTTTTCAAATAAACACTGTGGGAAAACTGCCAAGTACAAAAGTAGTAGAACATGTAAATCCACTCCTGTTCATAGGGGTTTCCAGAAGGCAACAGATCCATTCATTCCACAAATATTCACCTACTGAGTACCAAGTGTTTCCTAAGATTTTCTTTCAGGGACCATAGCTCTGCCATTCTGGGAAGTAGCCACAGACTCTGTGATTCCAAAGAAGGGGCTCTGACCAAAACACATGGCGTGCGTGTGCCAGAGAAACCAGCTTAGAGGTGGAGCAATCTACGGTGGCATGTCCCAGGGGGTAAGACACATGTTGGCTATAAAGAAAGACATGAGAATCTTCTGGAGGTTGTCCTGAGCTGGTTGTGCATAAAATTTACATAAATAAGACAATGAGAGAAAATATACCTGGCCACTTAAAAGAGGAAACCCAAGCCCTTTCCTCTGCTGCCACAGGGCCAAGCAATTCTAGCATCAGTCTTGCCTGCAACCCCCAGCCCTGCTGTAAACTCCAGGATGGTTGGGGGTGGAAGGCCTGGGGGCCTGAGCTTTGGAGCCCCAACTCCTACACTGGGGGTTGTGAAACCTCTGGGAAGCTTCTTCACTTCTCTGCCTTAATCTGTCAAATGGAGATAGAACTTTAGTTTTTGTAAAGACTATATGTGATAACATGCACGGAGCCTGACACAGGGTGTATGTCCAATAAACACTGGTCCTTCTTCTGCTGTGATACCTATGAGTCCACCCACTTCCCTCGCACTGGCTATGCCTCTCTGATGCCCCAGACTCCATGGAGGCTGCTCTGAAATGGGCAACATCAGGGCCAGGCCCAGAGAGTTCATCAGCAGAGCTCATCTAATAATTTTCTCCTCCAAACTCTCCTATTCTTCTATATGTGATAAAGGCATCAAATTAGAGATTATTTTAGGGATTCAGAAGTAAATGCAATTTTTTAACACTTTCAGTCACATTCTGCTTGATTCCTTTCCTCTCACTACCATATAAGACTTGAAATAAAAGAATCCACTCTTTGAAAGTCATCTGCAGAACCTTTCTTCTCCACTGATCCCCGACCCTGTCTCCTTTTTCAAAAAAGTTAGAATAAAAGATTAAAGTCTTAAATAATCCATCCCTCATTTCCTTCATTCTAAGTATATTAAAGGCCTTTGGTAAACCTTTTAATTAATCGATGATTCCATCTTTCTTTCACTTTTCCCTTTAGCACTTTCACTGTGATGAGTATCTTAATTCCCAATATCCACTCCAAGCATGGGGGGAAGGGGTGCAATGCCCCAGCAATGACCTTAGAACATCTACTCTACACATATTCATTTGGCCTTAAACGATTAACATTTAAAATGACTCTGGTTGTTTTGCTTCAAATAATACACAGACAGTCCCCGCTTACAACGGTTCGACTTAAGGTTTTTCAACTTTATGATGGCTTTATCAGGGTATTAAATGTATTTTTGACTTATAATATTTTCAACTTATTATGGGTTTCATCAGGATATAACCCCATCATAAGTTGAGGAGCATTTGTATATTATTCTTTAAAAGTTCTTCGTAAATTTAATTTTAAATGTGCTAAAAATGCTGACATTTACCATAGTGAATCTCATTATAAAATGAGAGACTTATTACCTGAGTTAAAATATAAATCTAGATTTTCACATCTCCAGAGAAATACTTTGCATCCTGGTTAAATAGAAAGGAAAAACAAATTTTTTTTTTTGGAGACAGGGTCTCACTCTGTCACCCAGGGTAGAGTGTCGTGGTGTAAGCCTAGCTCACAGCAACCTCAAACTCCTGGGCTCAAGTGATCCTCCTGACTCAGCCTCCAGAATAGCTGGGACTACAGGTGCTGCCACCACACCTGGCTAATTTTTTTTCTATTTTTTGTAGAGATGGGGTCTTACTATGTTTCTCAGGCTGATCTGAAACTCCTGGCCTCAAACGATCCTCCTGCCTCAGCCTCCCAAAGAGCTAGAATAACGGGCATGAGCCACCGTGCGGAGCCAAGAAATTATTTTTAAAGCACAAAAGAAATGCTGATTTTCTTACTGTGAGATGACAAAGGCTCTCTCCTTTGACCAAACCTGAGTCAGGCTCCTCTGAATCCTCTTTTTGACCAGGCCTCCACCTAGGGTTCTATCTTGACCTGAGTAGGTCAGTTTTAGCAAGAATCCTGCTGAATCATGTTAGTGAAAATCTTCTGCCCTTGGTATCTGATCACACTTGATATCTAATCAAATTCCTCAACCCCTACCCTTGATATCTGATCACCCTGGCACCCTGGACTGCCTTCAGCAAGAACCCAGTTGAGCTGGTATAGCAAGAATCCCCCTCTTGGTAACCCACTAACCCCCACGCTGCTCCTTGGCTATAAATAGCCACTTATCCTTCTTGCATTCGGAATTCAGCCCCATCTCTCTCCCTTTCTGCAAAACCTTTACTGCAATGGTCCCTTCTGAATAAGGTCTTCCTTACTGTCTTTAACAAATATCACAGATAATTTTTTCTTTAACAAAGACAAGGAAATTCTGCAATAAGGAAGAAGTGGAAGAACCCCATAGTGTTGGAACTGGGTGTATCAGTATGAACTCATGATTTTTAATAATTATCCTGAGTTTTTTTGGTAGTGATATGTACACGCTTAAATTTCCAAGCCGACAGCCCATTAGGAGCAGCAGCTTAGAAGCACAGGGTAGGCTGAAGAGGGCAGGTGGTAAGCAGTGAGAGCTGGCTGGCAGGCACATGGTGGCCAGTGTCAGGTCCACATCTCCCCTCTGAAACCCCGGGGCCCAAAGCTTAAAAGAGGGGGCTCATTAAACAGCAATCACTAATGATGCTGCTGCTGATAAAGCCAAACAGTCGGAGGCCATGGGATGTAAGATCAAATAATCTATTACTTGGGCAGCCCTGAGAGCTTTGATTCTGACTATATTCTGAGTCAGTGTGGTCCCCTGGGCTCATTTGATGATTCCACATAATTAAAACTCAACTACCAGGCATAGTTTAAGATAACCAAATTTCAGGAAGCATTTTGTTCAAGCCTCTTTGGATTATTACCCTGCTATAAAAAAAAAAACAAAAAAAAAACTGTCTCTATATCCTCCATAGCACCTATTATAGTGCCTTGCCTATGGGAGTTTCTCAATGATTCATTGCAAGAGTAGATAGTGCTTTCAGAAGTTTGTATTTTTTAAGAGTAGTTGAAAAAATCTCAGGTTTTGATTCCTACATTCTAAATTTAGTTTTAGGGACAAATTCTTGGTACTCAGATACCTTAATTATATATCAGCTATAACAGGAAGATAAGTCTTTTTTAGTTAGCTAATTAGTAAACCTAAAAATAAATATGAAATGCCTGATTTTTGTAACCTTTCTGTGGCTTTCCTCAAATACATTGAAAGTACTTTGTCCTATGTATTAATGCTGGATACTCAGTTTAAATCAAAAGTTTCTAACAACCTTTTTCATAATAAAATTACAAAGAAACCTTTTTGGTTTTAAATGAATGTCCCCTCACAAGTGTTCTGTTTTTATAAGTCTTCTGGTGTATTGTGTATTTTCCAGTTATTCTTTCCAATTATGTGACTTCATTTTTCCCCACTTACTTGGCTTTTCTACGTTCCTTAATTTTGACTTTCTATTTTTATTCTGCGTTTCTCTATGCAAGTAATCTTATTCAAATTTACCAATTCTCCCCTAGTTCAAAGATGACAAAGGGAGCGGGGTGAGGAGACTTGGAAAATTCTGACTTAGTGGATACAAATAAGTCATTAGCTCAAATAAAATACACTCAGTTTTTGTTCTAAATTTAGTAATCTTTTCATTCTCTTCTGTTTAGTTCTCATACTTTGCTCTTTCATTGGGAAGCTAGACACAATTATTAGATTTGCAAAAGGTATGGTTTGCTTTGTCTAGAAAAGTTCCATATCGTTTTACATTCACCAAGACACAGGATGAACAGACACAAAAATACAAATGACTTTTGATTTGATGCAGGGAGCCCTCCCTGTGGTGGGACCATGAGGTGGCCAGGAATTTAGCTAGCTGCCTGAGAGCAAGAGTTCACAGACTTATTCTTTAGACCTGGTTTCCATAGTGGCTGGTATTTCTGTCAAGTCTTTAATCCTCTTTTCAACTAATTGACAAGAGGTAGAAAAAAATAATTATTTCTTTGGTTAATGAAGTCACCTGATAATAGGTATCTTATAATTAAAGGAGAGGCTGGGAACATATTTTGTACTCTCTTCAATCAACAGACACAATGCTCCCTAAAATGAAGTCTCCTCTGTCTAGATTATTTGAAGGTTTTCTTTGTTCACATCTTTCAGCTTTCTACTTGGTGGGGGGGGGTGGTTTGCAAGTGGCAATAATTAGAAAAGGAGTGAAAAAGGAGAGCAAGAAATGGAAAAATTACTAGCAAGGCACCAAAAACCAATAATGATCCAGCTTACTCTGATAATACTGCTTTTGATTAATATTGTCAACTAAAAGTTTGAATTTGCAATGTATTTTTCACATTAACCATGTTAAAATGGGTAAAATATAACTGAGAAAATGTTATTTTAGCGTGAGTTCTTTGACTTTTCTCCAGTTGTATTTATATGATTTCAATCTTTTGAAAACACTGAATTTTAGAATAAGTAATTAATTCCTGAGTTTACCAGGGCTAAACAATGATTAATTGAATAGTCCTT